GAATTGACAATTACTTAATTCTGATTGTGAGCATACTTAGCCTCATTGATCTTATTACAGCTCTGTGTACAACCTTAGGCAGTACCTGAGGCATGAGAGTGTGATAATAGTACACCCTATTCAGCAAGTTTAAGAATGTTTCCATGTGTGATCTGCCTGGTAATCCCAGCATTTTGGGAGGCTGAGGTGGGCAGATCACTTGAAGGTCAGTAGTTCGAGGCCAGTCTGGACAACATGATGAAACATGGTCTCTACTAAAAATACAAAATTAGTCCTGTGTGGTGGCAAGCACCTGTAGTCTCAGCTCCTCAGGAATCTGAGGCAGAATTGCTTGAGCCAGGGAGGTGAAGTTTGCAGGCAGTGAGCCAAAATTATGCCACTGCACTCCAGCCTGGGCAACAGAATGAGACTCTGTCTCAAACAAAACACGCACGCGCGCGCGCACACACACACATACACACACACACCTACTCCTGCTTCCGTAGGAACTATTCCTAGGAGCCTTGGCAATTTAACAGTCTGCTTTATGGAGAAGGAGCAGTAGGATGCTATGTACAATATTTAGTAGGTCCTCATTAAATATTAGTTTCCTTTCTATCCAAAAAACAGACGTAAAAAAACCTCATGTTATTGTGGTTGGAGAAGTCAACCTTGATAAATTGGCCAACTACTTTCTTTTTGACTTGTATGGTGGACTTGGACTCCTTTTTCTTGATGGCAGTGATGAGGGTGAGAATGTAATCTAGACATAAAAGACCTGATTTCACATAAGAGAAAATTTAGTGCTGGAAAAATTAAGATTGTCATGGCAAAATACTTTTCAAAATTACACTATTTAGTTTTCTCAAAGGCTTAAGTGGAACTTTTATGCCGAATTTATGTGATGAATGGAATAAACTGATCCAAACATTAGAAGGGACGTGTTGACTGGGCATGGTGGCTCACACTCAGGCGGATCACCTGAGGGTGGGATCACCTGAGATCACCTGGAGTGCCACTGTACTCCAGCCTGGCTAACATGGAGAAACCTGGTCTCTAGTAAAAAATACAAAATTAACTGGGCATGGTAGCAGATGCCTATAATCCCAGCTACTCAGGAGGCTGAGACAGGAGAATCTCTTGAACTCAGGAGGCGGAGGTTACGGTCAGCCAAGATCACGCCATTGTACTCCAGACTGGACAACGGCAAAACAGCATCTCAAAAAAAAAAAGAAGGGACATGATAAAAAAAACAAAACAAAAAAAAAAAACTACCACAATTACAATTTTGGAACATGATCTTAAATTCCGGTGAAAGGGCATGAAGAGGTATTTTAGTTTGTTTTGTTTTTTTGAGACAAAGTCTTGGTCTGTTGCCCAGGATGGAGTGCAGTGACACGATCTCAGCTCACTGCAACCTCTGCCTCCCAGGTTCAAGTGATTCTCCTGCCTCAGCCTCTCGAATAGTTGGGATTACAGTTGTGCACCACCACACCTGGCTAATTTTTGTATTTTTAGTAGAGACGGGGTTTCACCATGTTGGTCAGGCTGGTCTCCTGACCTTGTGATCTGCCCGCCTTGGCCTCCCAAAGTTCTGGGATTAGAGGCGTGAGCCATCACAACCGGCCTGGGCCTGAAGAGTTGAGAAGTTATCGTTAACAATTTGAGAAAACCCAGTATATTAATTTGAGGAAAACAACAGAGACATTTGGGGGAAAAAAATTTTGTTTTGTGAATTACCAAGGAAAGAACTAATCACAGGCTAAGCAATGTGCTTAAGATGGCCGACCACTAACAGCTCGGGATTGTAGCTCCCAGTGAAAGCTCAGAGAACGAGACGACGCCACATCTTTAGACGAATTTTCGTCACTCACCGATCAGCCGATTCCCAGTGAAGGAGCCCCACAGGTCGCCAGCGCGACTCTTGTGGCCGCCGCAGCGGTTTTGCCGGCGTCTCGGCGCAGCAGCTCTTCATGCAGAGCCAACGGGACTGCTTCCCCTACTGACCGGAGTTTGGAGCTCCGGGAAATCAGAGCCGCTTGTTGCAGACTCAAGAGGGAAGCGAGACCAGAGATTCCCGGGCAGCAGAGCACCATCAGTCTTATCGCTGCTATTTAGGCCGCCACAGTGGGTTGCTCGGATCCCAGCACTGGGAATCAATAAGTCGGACGTCGACTCAGAAACCTAATTAGAAAGGCGGTTCATCTACAATGAAGGGAAAAAAACAGCCTAAGAAGGCCGAGTATACTCAAAATCAGAACCCATCAGCAACGGAACAAGCCCTGATGGAAAAGGACTGTGTTCCATTATCTGAAGTAGGCTTTAAAAGGTGGACGATAGGAAACTTCTGGGAGTTAAAGGAACTTGTTCTAACCCAATGTAAAGAAACTAAGAACTTGGAAAAAAGGTTCGATGAAATGTTGAAAAGAATAGACAATACAGAGAGGAATACAAATGAACTTATGGAGTTGAAAAATACAATACGAGAACTTAGTGAAATATGTACAAGCTTAAACAGCCGAATGGATCAAGCAGAAGAAAGGATATCAGAGGTCTAAGACCAACTTAATGAAACAAAACGACAAGACAAGAATAGAGAAAAAAGGATAAAAAGGAATGAGCAAAGTCTCCAAGCAATATGGGACTATGTGAAAAGACCTAATATACGCTTGACTGGTGTACCTGAATGTGACGGAGAGAATGAATTCAAGCTGGAAAATACTCTCCAGGACATTATCCAGGAAAATTTTCCTAATTTAGCAAAGCAGGACACTATTCAACCCCAGGCAATACAGAGAACATCACAAAGATATTCCTCAAGAAGACCAACCCCAAGGCACATAATCGTTAGATTCACCAAGATCGAAACAAAGGAGAACATATTAAGGGCAGCCAGAGAGAAAGATCAAGTTACCCATAAAGGTAAGCCTATTAGGCTTACAGCAGATCTCTCAACGGAAACCCTATAAGCTAGAAGAGAGTGGGGGCCAATATTCAATATACTTAATCAACATAACTTTCAGCCCAGAATTTCATATCCTGCCAATTTAAGCTTTACATTTGAAGGAAAAATAAAATCTTTTAGGAACAAGCAAGTACTCAGAGATTTTATTACCACCAGGCCTGCTTTACAAGAACTTCTAAAAGAAGCATTATACACAGAAAGGAACAACCAGTATGACCCTTTCTAAAAATACACCAAAAAGTAAAGAGCATTAACATAAAGAAGAATTTTCATCAATGAAAGGACAAAATAGCCAGTTAATATTGAAGGGCAGCAACCCTAAATTTAAATCGACCAAATCTCCCAATCAAAAGATACAGACAAAATCTAACAGTATATTCAAAGATATACATAGACTCAAAATAAAGGGTTGGAAAAAAAAAAAACGTACCAACCAAATGGAGAGCAAAAATAAATAAATAAAAAGCAGGAGTTGCAATTTTCATATTTGACAAAATAGATTTCAAAGCTACAAGGATACAAGGGTAAAAGGATTAATGTAATAATAAGAGATTTTAACACCCAGATACATAAGACCCATAATGAGATTTAGATTCAAAGAGACAGAAAATTGATAACGATATCCGGGACTGGAACTAAGATCCAGAACAAATAAACTTAATAGAGCATCCATTTTAAACACACAAAATATACATTATCCACAAAATCTAATGATATATCTAAAGATATACAAAGACTCAAAACAAGGGGATGGAAAAAAACTCACCAACCAAATGGAGAGCAAAAATAAATAAATAAAAAGTAGGAGTTGCAATTCTCACACTTAATAAAATAGATTTCAAAGCTACAAGGATGCAAGGGTAAAAGGATTAATGTAACAATAAGAGATCTTAACACCCAGATACATAAGACACATAATGAGATTTAGATTCAAGGAGACAAAAAATTGATAATGATATCCAGGACTTGAACTCAGAGCCAGAATAAATAAACACAATAGCGGTCTCCATTTTAAACACATAAAATATGCATTAACCACTTTAAACACTCAAAATATTGATCGGCCATTATTGAAACCCATTTTAGGAATGAAGTAATATTCCTTTTTCCCTCTTTTTCTTTTTTTCCCCTTCTTTCTCTCTTTTTCCCTAAAAAGAAAGAAAAAAAAAAAAAAAAAGCAATGTGCTTAAGGTTGAATTTGCCAAATTAAGATGTACATACTATGATGTAGCATGTGTCTTTATTCGCACATGCAGTGAGATAATTCCTGCAGTTGTCTCACACTGCTGTAGGTTATTAGGAAATCCATCCTTTAGTGATATCACTTTTCTGAATTCTGTAACACTTTTGCATTCAGCTAATCCTTTGATTAGTCTGTATTTTCCGGATCAAGTGTATCTTGTTTTTCGCTTGGTCCACTTGCCTTGTCCCTTACACCCCACTAACAGGAAAATTCCTGGTGGTCAAAATGGTTCTAAGCCCTTTTGTATATTGTATATACAATATACAAAAAAAGGTTCTAATTGCTTTTTGTATTCAGGCTTAATTCAACAGGAATTGACATAACTTCTCAATATTAAAAAAATTTACAGTCTGAAACTTTATGATATTTTAAACTCTTTTTACAACTTTTCATATTGAAGATTATGGCAGGAAATGGATGCTTTTGATGCCAGTAGAAATTCTTGTGAGTTTTTCTAACTTCTATTGCTAATTAACATGGAGGTGGTGGGCTCTTATTTATTTATTAATTTATTTTGAGATAGAATTTTGCTCTTGTTGCCTAGGCTAGAGCACAATGGCATGATCTCAGCTCACCGCAACTTCCCAGGTTCTAGCGATTCTCCTGCCTCGGCCTTCCCAGTAGCTGGGATTACATGTATGCACCACCACGGCTGGCTAATTTTATATTTTTAGTAGAGACAGGGTTTACTTCATGTTGGTAGGCAGGTCTCGAACTCCTGACTGCAGGTAATCCCCGCCCGCCTCGGCCTCCCAAAGTGATGGGATTACCGCGTCTGGCCCAGGGCAGGAGCTCTTTATGTATTATTTTATTTTGCTCCGCCCCCGACATCGTGGTGTGAGGGGAACCTTCCTAGTATCTGGGCGCTGGCCGCTCTCAACGGGTTAGGGAAAGAGGAGCTCAGTGATCATAGAGGTGGCGGAATGCAGGGGTAGAGGGGACCGGAAGTTGTTTCTTTCCCTACCCTCCTCCCCCACCGGGACCGGATCGCTTCTCCTAGGGCTCGCTTTGGTTTCATCTCCTGTCAGACTGTCGTTCGGCCTCAGGACTTGGTACCCCCGGAGTGTGGGCTCTCTCCAGTACCAGACTCACTTCAGTAACAGACTTTGGGAAGCCTTGTGAATACCCGGGTCTCTTAGCCACAAGGGTGGCCTGACGGAGCCGCGGCGCTGGCCAAATCGCTCAGGCGCTAGCCGGAACCCCCAGACCAGCTCAAACGAGAGCCCAAACTCGGAGCTTGGAAGAATTAGCAGGAAATGGCGGATGAGGCGTTGTTTTTGCTTCTCCATAACGAGATGGTATCTGGAGTGTACAAGTCCGCGGAGCAGGGGGAGGTGGTGAGTGCTGCCACACGACCTTGAGGTCCTTTTGCGGTGACACACCTTGTTTCCCCTCAGTACTGTTTCCTTCAACCCCTGTCCCATCGCTACCCGATGACTCCCGAGGTGTAGACAAAGTGGTCCACCTCCAGGTATCCTAAATCCTAGAACCTGTCAGTTGTCTCCTTTGATCTGTCATCTTTCATCCTTTTCTCTTTCGTATCTTCTGCTATTTGATTCCTTTTTGTGCACTTGAGCCATGAACTGGCCAGACCTATCCCAGCCTAAGAAGCCTGTCCCTCCTTCCCCTTTCCTAATGCCCAGTACAACTCCACACAACTTGAGGACTGAAGTCTAATGAAGGTTGAGTTTGCAAAGGAAAGTTTGCAGGCATTAGGATAATTAGGAAACACTATTTAAATTAATTATTTCAAAAAATATTTGGTGCCCATTATGTCAGAGCTAGTTCTCGCTGCTAGGGAGGTAGCAGTGAATGAAACAATGGCCCATTCTTGTAGAGTAGTAGAGATTACTTTTTTTTTTTTTAACTTAACCTGAAATGTGATAGTATGTAGTGATTACTTCTACTATGTGGGAGTCCTTATTCAATCACTGATTGTGGACCTGACACTGCTAGATAAATAAAGTAAAATCCCTGCCTCAGTCTTTAGGGAATAGGGATTTAATGAATAGTTAAAATTAAGTATTGGCTGGTAGAATCATGTATTTGTAACGGATTTTAGAAATATTCCAAAGTCATGCTCAAGTCAGGAGCCCTTGCTTTAATATAATTGATAAAAAACGAGTGGAGAATGGGGATAGGAAATGTATCCTAGGCAAAGATAAAGGCATAGAATTATGAAAGAGTGGTAGATTTAATTACACTTAAGCATTTCATTGTGACTAGATTGGAGGGAGAGTGAGAATTGAGAACTTAAGTTAGAAAGAACTTTGTATGATTAAAGAGTTCGGATCTTTTCAAGGGAAGCTGTTTTTTTGTTTGTTTGTTTTTGAGACGGAGTTTCACTCTTACTGCCCAGGTTCGAGTGCAATGGCGCAATCTCAGCTCCCTCAACCTCGGCCTCCCGGGTTCAAGCGATTCTCCTGCCTCAACCTCCTGAGTAGCTGGGATTACAGGCATTCGCCACTACTTCCGGCTAATTTTGTATTTTTAGTAGAGATGGGGTTTCTACCTGTTGGTCAGACTGGTCTCGAATTCCTGACCTCAGGTGATCCCCGCCCACCTTGTCCTCCCAAAGTGTTGGGATTACAGGTGTGAGCCACCACACCTGGCAAGGGAAAATTTTTAAGGAGGGGAATGATGTGGACCGTTTGCATTTTAGAAAGTAATCCAGCATTAGGACTAGACATGGAAGATCCTTGGGGGAAAATCCGTTATTAGAGGAGTCATGGCTGGAAATGATGATGGTCTGAATTAAGAAAAACATAGTGAGAAAAGGAGATAACAGATTTGAGAGGTAGAAGGTGGAATTCTATACGCCTTGTTTAAGGATGGGAGGAGTTGAAAATATATCATCAGGTTTTTTGCTTGAGCAGCTGGGTTGGATGGTGGTGCTATTAATCAGAAAAGGGAATAAAGGATAAGAAAAAAATGAGGAGTTAAAATGAGTTATTTCAGGGCAGGTTGAAGTTTTGAGGTATGTGCAGGACATCCAAGAAAAGGTACTGCCAGTTTGCACAAGAAGGATAGACAGAGGCCGGGCGCGGTGGCTCAAGCCTGTAATCCCAGCACTTTGGGAGGCCGAGGTGGGTGGATCACGAGGTCAAGAGATCGAGACCATCCTGGTCAACATGGTGAAACCCCGTCTCTACTAAAAATACAAAGAATTAGCTGGGCATGGTGGCGCGTGCCTGTAATCCCAGCTACTCAGGAGGCTGAGGCAGGAGAATTGCCTGAACCCAGGAGGCGGAGGTTGCGGTGAGCCGAGATGGCGCCATTGCACTCCAGCTTGGGTAACAAGAGCGAAAACTCCGTCTCAAAAAAAAAAAAAAAGAAGGATAGGCAGGGTACATTTGAAGATTTCATTAGAAAGATATGTTTGGAAGAGTATTGGAAATGAAGCAAATTCGATTCTTACTCAAATGACCCATCTGTATAGATATTTTTTTTCAAGTTACAAACTTATGACTTTACTATTGACATCAGTGTTTACTGTTTGTGCAAAACCAGCCTTCTTTTTCCCCAAAGAACAGTTAATAACACACCCCTTTTACTTTTTTATCATAACCCCTGGGCTCCCCCTACCCCCACTTGTCTATTCAGTTCTCTTCATTCTCCCCTCCCTTCTTACCTTTCCTCTTCTCTCTTTCTTTTTTTCTTTTTTTTTTTTTTTTTTTTAATGAGACAGAGTTTTGCTCCTGTTGCCCAGGCTGGAGTGCAGTGGTGTGGTCTCAGCTCACTGGAACCTCCGCCTCCAGGGTTCAAGCAATTCTCCTGCCTCAGCCTCCTGAGTATCTGGAATTACAGGTGCCGGCAACCATGCCTGACTCATTTTTTTGTATTTTTAATAGAGACAGAGTTTCACCAGAGTAGGCTGGTCTTGAACTTTTGACCTCGGGTGATCTGCCTGCCGCAGCCTCCCAAAGTGCTGGGATTACAGGCATAAGTCACTACACCTGGCCCTCTTCTGACTCTTGTCTAGAAGAATATTTTTTCTTCCTTTTAAGAGCTCTCTTTTTTTCCAGTGAGTTAATCCTAATAAAATGAACAGAGCCATTCTACTCATGCCCAATAATTTTAAGAGATGGGCTAACCATATAAGAGAAAGGAAGTTCATAGTTTTGAATCATTTAAGCTAAAAATAATTTTCTTTTTCTACTGTAGTGTGTTTATGATGAGGGAAAAATTGAATTGAAAGTACGTAATAAGCAAAGATTGCCGGGCGCGGTGGCTCAAGCCTGTAATCCCAGCACTTTGGGAGGCCGAGGTGGGTGGATCACGAGGTCAAGAGATCGAGACCATCCTGGTCAACATGGTGAAACCCCGACTCTACTAAAAATACAAAAAATTAGCTGGGCATGGTGGCGCGTGCCTGTAATCCCAGCTACTCAGGAGGCTGAGGCAGGAGAATTGCCTTAACCCAGGAGGCGGAGGTTGCAGTGAGCCAAGATCGTGCCATTGCACTCTAGCCTGGGTAACAAGAGCGAAACTCTGTCTCAAAAAAAAAAAAAAAAAAAAAAAAGCAAAGATTATATAAATAACAGTTATGTGGTAGTCTTCATAACCAGAACCCATACTGAAATCTGGGTATAAGAGGGTTTATACTAGTGTCCCTATTTTGAGTGTGCTTGAAATTTTTCACCATGAAAAATATAAAAGACACATAATCCTGTCATCCAGAAGTGATTTTTTTGAGATTTTTTTAGACAAAAAAAAATTTTTTTAGACTAAAAACTACGTTATATCTGAAAAGTCCTATAAAATCCATTTCTTGATGACAGGATTATGTGTCTTTTATTTTTATTTATTTTTGTTTATTTATTTATTTGAGACAGAGTCTCGCTCTGTTGCCAGCTGCCAGGCTGGAGTGCAGTGGCACAATCTCAGCTCACTGCAACCTCCACCTCCCGGGTTCGAGCAATTCTCCTGCCTCAGCCTCCCAAGTAGCTGGGACTACAGGCGCACGCCACCATGCCCAGCTAATTTTTTGTATATTTTTTAGTAGAGACGGGGTTTCACCATGTTGACCAGGATGGTCTCAATCTCTTGACCTTGTGATCCACCCGCCTTGGCCTCCCAAAGTGCTGGGATTACAGGCTTGAGCCACCGCGCCCGGCCCAATTTTTGTATTTTTAATAGAGACGGGGTTTCATCATGTTGGCTAGGATGGTCTCGATCTCTTGACCTGGTGATCCGCCCGCCTCAGTCTCCCAAAGTGCTGGGATTACAGGCTTGAGCCACCACGCCTGGGCTATTTTAATTTTTTATTTTGAAACAGAGTCTCTGTTGCGCAGGTTGGAGTGTAGTGGCACAATGTGGCTCACTACAACCTCCGCCTCTCAGGTTGAAGCGATTCTCCTGCCTCAGCCTCCCTCATAGCTGGGATGATAGGCACCTGCCACCACTCCTGGCTAATTTTTGTATTTTTGGTAGAGATGAGGTTTCACCATTTTGGCCAGGATGGTCTCTAATTCCTGACCTTGTGATCCACCCGCCTCAGCCTCCCAGTGTTGGGATTACAGGCATGAGCCACTGCGCCTGGCCCTTTTTTTTTCCTATGAAAAGTTTTTTTAAGTGAAACACAGTTTTATACATTTTCAGTATAGCAAAATAAACTTCCCTAAGGTTTGAGATGAAATAGAACTAAAAAGGCCGGGCGCGGTGGCTCAAACCTGTAATCCCAGCACTTTGGGAGGCCGAGGTGGGTGGATCACGAGGTCAAGAGATCGAGAGCATCCTGGTCAACATGGTGAAACCCTGTCTCTACTAAAAATACAAAAACTTAGCTGGGCATGGTGGCGTGTGCCTGTAATCCCAGCTACTCAGGAGGCAGAGGTTGTGGTGAGCGGAGATGGCGCCATTGCACTCCAGCGTGGGTAACAAGAGCGAAACTCCGTCTCAAGAGATAAAAAAAAAAAGAACTAAAGAAAAAAAAAAAAAAAAAAACAAAAAAAAAAAAATAAAGGACAAAAAAAAAAAGAAAAGAAATAAAAGAACTAATGTTCTCACCCTCCAAATCAATGTTTTTCAAATTATGCTTAAAGAGGAATTAATTATCTTAAAATGGACTAATTGGGTATTTCTCCCTTCCAAGTACTAACCAGGCCCGACCCTGCTTTGCTTCTGAGATCTGATGAGATCGGGCGCGTTCAGGGTGGTATGGCCGTGGGTATTTCTCAATTTATGGAGAATGAATTTTAAAAGGTTAACGGACAAAATGTTCTCAAGTTGAATTTTTCTTAAAAATTTGGTGCCTACTCAAAAATGCATGAACAAGTACTAAAATCATAAAAGTATGTCGTAGGGCTTACTTCAAAAGCTCATGTGATAATAGAATTTGAGAGTGTCTCTATATAAGCATATTAAACTGCCCAGTGTTCTTCTTGCCCGCTGCCCAGATAGAGCTGATTTATCAATACAGTAGAATTACAATAGGGAGTTTATGTAGAGCTGGCTAAATGGGAGAGCAGAGTTTTATTATTACTCAAATCAGCAGAGGCTAGGGTTTATCAAGGATCGTTTGGCAGGGTGGGGGCTAGGGAATGGTTTGCTGCTGATTGGTTGGGGATGCAGTTACAGAGCTGGGGGCCACAGGACCAGTTGGAGTCGTCCAAAATGCAAAAAGTCTGAAAAGACATCTTAAAAGGCCTTTTTTAGGTTCTACAATAGTGATGTTATTTACAGGAGTAATTGGGGAAGTTACAAATTTTTGACTGCCAGAACAATGGCTGGTAAACACTTAACTACATTTTAGCAGAGTTCAGGCCCCTCTCATAATCTTAACCTTGTAGTCTTTCATTAGTTTTGCAAAAGTGATTTAGTTCTGGGAAGGGCTATTATCATTCTTGCTTTAAGGTTATTCTGTAAACTAAATTTCTTCCAAAGTTAGCTTGGGCTGCATCCAAGAACGACCAAAGGCAGTTTGGAGGTTAAAGGCAAGATGGAGTTGGTTAGGTGAGATCTCTTTCACTGTCATAATTTTCTCACTGTTACAATCTTTGCAAAGGTAATTTCAATATTTCCTGCTAATAAATATGTTCCTACGTGATTCTACAGAGAGCAGAGTATTCCACAAAGAGCATCATGAGTTACAGGCATTCTTTCTACCTGAACATTTTTTTTTTAAGACACAAGGTCTCTGGGTGAGTGTGGTGGTTCATGCCTGTAATCCCAGCACTTTGGGAGGCTGAGGTGGGAGAATTACTTGAGCCCAGGAGTTGGAGACCAACCTGGGCAACATAGTACAACACTGTCTCTATTAAAAAATTAAAAAGAGACAAAGTCTTGCTCTGTCATGTAGGCTAGAATGCATTGTTGGGACTTTGGCTCACTGCAGCCTTGACCTCCTGGGCTTAAGTGATCCTCCCATGTCAGCCTCCTGAATAGTGAGGGCTATGAGCATGCCACATGTCTGGCTAACTAAAACATTTTTTTTTTTTTTTTTGTAGAAACAGAGTCTTGCTATGTTGCTCATTCTGGTTACAGACTCCTATTCTTAAGCGACCCTCCTGCCTCAGCCTTCTACAGTGCTGGGATTATAGGCTTGAGCACTGTACCTGACTTCATCCTAAGCATGTTTGAGAACAAGTGTGGAGAATAGCAGAAAAACCAAAAACTGTGATAAGTACCGTAATAGATGTATGTACAGAGTTTTATGACAGCATAGGGCCTAAAGAAGTTTCAGGGAAAGCATCTTGGAGAATGTAATACCTGAGCAGAATTTAAAGAATGTGAAGTCTAGGAAATAGCACATAAAAAGGCATGGAGACAGAAGAGAGCATGGCACTTTGGAGTTGCTGCAGAAATTTCAGAGTGATAGAAGGGACAGATGTTTGTGAATACATGGATGTTAATGAATTTTGTTAACTAGCCAGGGGTCTTTAAGGAAAGGACATAACATAATGCCATACTAAGGAATTTGGACTTTCCTTTTCTTTTTTTTTTTTTTGATAAAGGGTCCCTTGCTCAACCTGTTGCCCAGGCTGGAGTGCAAGACATGATCATGGCTCACTGCAGCCTCAACTTCCTGGACTCAAGCAATCCTCCTGCATTAACCTCCAGAATGGCACATGCTACCACCCCAGCTATTTTTTTTTTTTTTTTTAATAGAGATGCAGTCTTGCTATGTTGCCCAGTCTGGTCTTGAGCCACTGAGCTCAAGTAATCGTCCTGCCTTGGCCTCCCAAAGTGCTGGGATTATAGGCATGAGCCACTGCACCTTGAGGGGTTTGTTTGTATTATAAAAACTTGGTGTTGTGGAGGAGCACAAAGCTACAATCCATTGAACCTCTGCCAGTTAAGATGGTGTTGGCTTAAGTGACATCTGGTTACTATACTGGGAAAATCACTTCTATAGAGATGGTCTTCCAAATGGTTTTAAAGTGTATCCTTCTGGCTGGACATGGTGGCTCACGCCTGTAATACTTTGGGAGACCAAGGCAGGTGGATCACTTGAGGTCAGGAGTTTGAGACTAGCATGGCCAACATGGTGAAACCCTATGTCTACTAAAAATACAAAAATTAGCCAGGCATGGTGGCCGGTGCTTGTAATTCCATCTACTTGGGAACCTGAGGTAGGAGAATCACTTGAACCTGAGAGGCAGAGGTTGCAGTGAGCCAAGATGGCCCACTGCACTGCAGCCTGGATGACAGAGCAAGACTCCATCTGAAAATAAAATAAATTTTAAAAGTGTATCCTTCTATTGACATTTTTAGGTTGATTATGTATATGTTGACTAAATTATGAATTAACTTATTTATCCAAAAAAAAAGTAAGTCAAAATAAAGTAAATAAATAGTATCAATCTTATAATTCACTTTTTCTTAAGATGTTTCAGTGAAAAAAGTGTAAATATTTGCATTACTATTTTTACCAGTATTATAAAACAATTTCTGAATACTAACATCCTAGCATTCTAAAAGTATTTAAAACTATTATTTTTTTAAAATAGGAAAATGGACGATGTATTACTAAGCTGGAAAACATGGGGTTTCGAGTTGGACAAGGATTGATAGAAAGGTGAGCAGGTTGGATTTGAAAATTTTCTTGCAGGTAGGTTATAAACAAAGATGGTCCATTTCAAAAGATTTCATAAAACTTTGAGATATTTTAATTTTAATTCCTGAATGTTATTTCTTCTCTTTACTTCAAAAATTAAACTTTCTTTTTAGATCCAATGTCATTTTAACTCAGTTATTCAAATTTTATGTTTTAATGTTTAAAGAAAATATATATTTTATGTATTTTAGACTTTTTTTCCTGAAACTACTGGCATATTAATGCAACTGTCTGAAATCTTACTGCATTTTCAACTTAAGATCTGCTAAGTTCTTTAACCTGCATAGAATTTTTAAGTACATAGGATTGAAATACAATAGTCTGTGTTTATGCATGTAATTATCTTTCAACTTATAGATCAATTCTTTTTAGTAATTCTTTCTCACTACTTGAGCAGTTAAACTCTGATTATATTTTATATAACAATGTCATGATCATGCTCACCTCTTTGTTATTTTGTGATTTTTTTGATGTGCTAGAGAAGTGCACATCAAATTTTGGCTATAATGTTAGACTAATTTGAGGCCTCATAATTTATATAACATGTGAATCCATTGAGATAGGATCATTTTGCCTAGTCCTTATGACTTTATGAGTGTTAATAAATGTTCAGCCAGGTGTGGTGGTTCATGCCTATAATCCCAGCACTTTGGGAGGCCAAGGTGGGAGAATCACTTGAGATCAGGCGATTCAGACCAGTTAGGGCAACAAAGTGGGACCCTGTCTCTTTCAAAAATACAAAAATTAGCTGGGCATGGTGACATGTGCCTGTGGTCTCAGCTACTAGGGAGGCTAAGGTGGGAGGATAGCTTGTGCCTGCGAGGCAAATAGAGGTTGTAGTGGGCCAAGATCATGCTACTGCACTGTAGCCTGGGCGACCGAGCCAGACCCTGTCAAAAAAAAAAAAAAATTAAAGTTAAAAAACCCAATAAATGTTCAGTGCTGTTCTGGCATTTGAAAATTAGTTAATAATTTGTCCCTCTTGCTTTCTTTGGAGGATAAATACTGTATTACTTCTAGTTGATCTTTTTAGGTTTACAAAAGATACTGCAAGGTTCAAGGATGAGTTAGATATCATGAAGTTCATTTGTAAAGATTTTTGGACTACGGTATTCAAGAAACAAATCGACAATCTAAGGACAAATCATCAGGTAATTAAAATAACTAAGACTTATACTTCGAAGTCATTTAACTTAATATAAATATCATATTTTAGTGACTTATTTAAAACCTAAAATAGGCCGGGCGCGGTGGCTCAAGCCTGTAATCCCAGCGCTTTGGGAGGCTGAGGTGGGTGGATCACAAGGTCAAGAGATTGAGACCATCCTGGTCAACATGTTGAAACCCCGTCTCTACTAAAAATACAAAAAATTAGCTGGGCATGGTGGTGTGTGCCTGTAGTCCCAGCTACTCGGGAGGATGAGGCAGGAGAATTGCCTGAACCCAGGAGGCGGAGGTTGCGGTGAGCCGAGATTGCGCCATTGCACTCCAGCCTGGGTAACAAGAGCAAAACTCCGTCTCAAAAAAAAAAAATAAATAAATAAGTTACTAGTTTTTTTCTTCTAATAGTGTGAAATGAATAAAGACAAAGGGACAGTTACCAATAGTGATAGCTGTTTCTTTCACCTAATTATATGCTATGTTAAATTTTTAAAAATAGCAAATGTCAGGATGATAATAGCTTTTAGTATTTGGTTCCTTAGTTACTGTCAGTTAGTGGTAATAATATACAGAACCATAAATATATCACCTTTATGCCTTTAGAATCATTTCTTTTTTTGAAGAAGAATAATTTATATTATTTTAATAATTTATATATACAGAAAAATCAACAGTGTGCATTTAACCCAGTTTGGTGACAAGTTCTTTAGCCTTTGCCTTTTCCTGGTTTTCAATTCAAGTCACAGAGTTGGGACCCAGGACATTGTCTCCCCAGTGACAGTGGTTCTTATCATATCTGTCATTGTAATTGGTTCTAATAGCTTCCACCAGCTGAACCTAAGCTCCTTTGTCTTCTGAGTTAACCTTTGTGAAGGCAACAGTGTTGCAGGTCTTCTTGTGGACTAGATGTCCCAGTCTTGCCTTCCCCTGATAATGCAGTTAAGGGACCCCCATTTTACGCAACAAGGCAGGTAGGAAGACAAACAGCTTGATGGGATCCACATTGTGTGCATTCACCACCAACTGAGCCTCCTTATTCTCCTCCAAGGTGATAACAGTGTTAACTCCTGCTCGGAGGACAAGTGGTCTCTTAGTGGGGACATCCCCTTTGCCTGCAGCTTTCTTTTTTTTTTTTTTTTTTTTTTTTTAGTAGAGTTGGGGTTTCACCATGTTGGCCAGGCTGGTCTCGAACTCCTGACCTCAGATGATCCACCCGTCTCGGCCTCCTAAAGTGCTGGGATTTGGGATTACAAGCGTGAGCCCCCACACCTGGCTACCTGCAGCTTTCTTTTCAGCCTGGGCCAATAGCCTCTGCTTCTTTTCTTGCTTTGTCTCTGGTCAGTACTTGTGGGCCAGCTTAAGCAGCTGAGTAGCTATTTGGCAGTGCAGGGCCTGGGTGAACTGGTTAATCGTTGGAGGCACTTTCGGCTGCTTATAGAGGATGGCTTTCTGCCGGGGCTGTTTCACAAAGCAAATGGGGTCCTTTTTGGGTGTATGTCCTGTCCAATGTCAGAATTCTTAGGCCTTTTTTCAAATGGGATTCCTGCTTCTTCATGACAGCAAGGGCTGGAGCCAGCTTCTTCCCCTTGGCCTTTGCTTTTGGCACCTTGGGTGGGAGGAGGAGATCCTTTATAGTCATTTCTAAGGTCTAATTTATAGAGCATATTTTACTCTTAAATAACTCTTGCATTATTACTGCTGTCATATTTTCTATTCTTAAAAGATTTTCTATATCCTATAAAACTAATAGATTACATAGAAAACTATTTATTTATTAAAAATTGAAAAAGGAGACAGGGTCTTGCTATGTTGCCCAGACTGATCTCAAGCTCCTGGACTCAAGTAATTCTTTGGCCTCAGCCTCTTGCATAGCTGGGATTATAGGCATATACCACCACTCCTAGCTTCATTAGATTTTATTTTATAAACTTAAGGAAATAGAGTAGATTTGGAATTTGATTAAGTAAAAAAATTAAAGAGAATAGGACTATTTATTATTTATTAGTTAATTAGAGACAGAGTCTCACTGTGTTGCCCACACTGGTCTCAAACTCCTGGACTCAAGGGATCCTCCTGCCTTGGCCTCCCAGAGTACTGGGATTATAGTTATGAACCCCTGTGCCTGGCCTAGAATTCATTTTGTACCAACTTTAGCTTGGAAATACTTGAATTGCTAATTCGAAGAAATGACTCTTACTTTTGACTTTCTAGACATGATTTAGTATATCAGCTGGCTGGACATGGTGGCTCATACCTAGAATTGCAGCATTTTGGGAGGCTGAGACATAAGGATTGCTTGAGCTCAGGAGTTGGAGACCAGACTGAGCAACATAGTGAGACCCTGTTTCTACAAAAAAAAAAAATTAAAAAAATTCACTGAGCACATTAGCAGGAGCCTGAGGTTTCAGCTGCATGGGAGGAATTCAGGGATACAGCGACCTACTGCCCTTTTTCTGTCTCTTAAGGAAATAAGTCCTAGTGTGGCGGCTAACCCCTGTAATCCCAGCACTCTGCAAGGCTGAGGCAGGTGGATCACCTGAGGTCAGGAGTTTGAGACCAGTCTGGCCAACATGGTGGAACCCTGTCTCTACTAAAAATATAAAAATTAGCCAGGTGTGGTGGTGCATGCTTGTAGTCCCAGCCACTCGGAAGGCTGAGGCAGGAGAATTGCTTGAACCTGGGAGACGGAGCTTGCAGTGAGCCTAGATCACACACTGCACTCTATCATGGGCGACAGAGCAAGACTCTGTCTCAAAAATTAAAAACAAAAATTAGGTTGGGCATGGTGACTCATACCTATAATCTCAGCATGTTGGGAGGCTGAGGCAGGAGGATCACTTGAGCCCAGGTATCAGGCATCTGTGATCCCAACTACTTGGGAGGCTGAGGCAGGAGAATTGCTTGAGCCTGGGAGATGGAGGTTGCAGTGATTGAGTCACTGTACTTCAGCCTGGGTGACAGAGCAAGACTCTGTTTAAAAAAAAAAAAATTAATAAAACTAGGCAGATGTGGTGGTATGCGCTTGTGGTCCCAACTACTCAGGACGCTGAGGTAAGAGAATTGCTGAATTGCTCAAACACCCAGGTGTTTGAGGGTGCAGTGAGCTGTGATTGTACTACCACATTCCAGCCTAGGCAATAGAGTGAGAGCTCATCTCTAAATAAATGAATAAACAAACAAACAGCTTATTTCACAAGGATGTATATTAATGATTCCATTGTACTAGACTATTAGTTTTTAAGAATAGGGACTATGTTTCATACAGTCTTTGTATCTTTAGTGTATAAAACTGTTCAGTAGATATTAGTGTTATGAAAATACTGAACTCACAACTCTTCAGTGTGAACATTGCAGAACTCCTTCATTTAAACAAAATTTGACCAGGTTGGGCGTGTGGGCTCATGCCTGTAATCCCAGCACTTTGGAAGGTCAAAGTGGGTAGATTGCCTGAGCCTAGGAGTTTGAGACCAGCCTGGGCAACATACAAAGCCCCATCGCTACAAAAAATATAAAAATTAGCAGAGCATGGTGATGCAGGCCTGTAGTCCCAGCTACTTGGGAGGCTGAGGTGGGAGGATCGATTGAGCCTGGGAGTTGGAAGCTGCAGTGAGCTGTGACTGTGCCACTGCATTCTACCCTGGGCAACCAGAGGAGACCCTGTCTCCAAAGAACAGAAAAAGAAAATTCGACCAATGGGAAGGAGACTTTTAATAACTTTTAAAAAAACACTTACATTGTTTCATAAGAAATAAAATAATTTTCCAGGCACGGTGGCCCATGCCTGTAATCCCAGCACTTTGGGAAGCTGAGGCAAGTGGATTGCAAGGTCAGGAGACTGTGACCAACCTGACCAACATGGTGAAACTCCGTCTCTACTAAAAATGCAAAAATTAACCTGGCATGGTGCTGCGTGCCTGTAATCCCAGCTACTTGGGAGGCTGAAGCAGGAGAATTGCTTGAACCAGGGAGGTGGAGGTTGTGGTGAGCCAAGAGAGCGTCATTGTACTCCAGCCAGGGCGACAGAGTGGAACTCCGTCTCAAAAAAAAAAGAGAAAAGAAATAATTTTAAGGACTGCTAGTTACATTGACTTTGGATGTTTTTTTCTTTTTGGAACAGGGCATCTATGTTCTTCAGGACAACAAATTTCGCCTGCTTACGCAGATGTCTGCTGGAAAACAGTATTTAGAACATGCATCTAAGGTATTTAATGGAATAGAAGATTGGGGTTTCTGTTCATAGTAGGACTACAGGGAAAAGTTCAATGCTAATCATAACAGACTATTGAACTTAAAATATATTTTAAGTGTTCTTTTTTGTTTAAAGACTTTTCTATGAAATGAGAGACATGTTACAATCTTTAGCTAAATAGGCTTATAGTAGCCAATTAAAGAAATACTGGCTGGGCGTGGTAGCTCACGCTTGTAATCACAGCACTTTGGAAGGCCCAGACAGGTTAGGAGTTTGAGACCAGCTTGGCCAACATGGTGAAACCCCGTCTCTACTAAAAGTACTAAAATTTGCTTAGCGTGGTGGCAAGCGCCTGCAATCCCAGCTACTCCAGAGGCTGAGGCAGGAGAATCCTTTTAACCTGGGAGGCAGAGGTTGCAGTGAGTTGAGATCGTGACATCATGGCACTCCAGCCTGGGCTACAAGAGTGAAACTCCGTCTCAAAAAAAAAAAAAAAGAGAGAAACACTTTAACTAAATGATAGAGAAATGTAGATGTATGGTAGATCACTTTTTTTTTTTTTTTTTTAAAGACAAGGGCTCGCTCTGTCATCCAGGCTGGAGTGTAGTGAGTGGTACGATCATGGCTTATCTTGACCTTGACCTCCTGGGCTCAAGCGATCCTTTTATCTCAGTCACCCAAGGAGCTGGGACTGCATGCCTGGCTAATTTTTTTTTTTTTTTTTTGAGATGGAGTTTTGCTCTTGTTACCCAGACTGGAGTGCAATGGCGCGATCTCGGTTCACCGCAACCTCCGCCTCCTGGGTTCAGGCAATTTTCCTGCCTCAGCCTCCTGAGTAGCTGGGATTACAGGCACGTGCCACCACGCCCAGCTAATTTTTTGTATTTTTAGTAGAGACGGGGTTTCACATGTTGACCAGGATGGTCTCGATCTCTTGACCTCGTGATCCACCCGCCTCGGCCTCCCACAGTGTTGGGATTACAGGCGTGAGCTACCGCTCCCGGCCTGGCTAATTTTTTTAAAAAGTTTCGTAGAGATGGGATCCCACAATCTCTTCAACTCCTGGGCTCAAGTGATCATCCCACCTCAGTCTCCCAAAGTATTGGGATTATAGGTATGAGCCACTCCATCTGGCCTGATTGCTTATTTTCTATATTTTTGGAGTATATAGCCTCTAATTTTATGGTTAATGTATATATATTATTTTTTTGAGATGGAGTATCACCCTGTCACCCAGGCTGGAGTATAATGGCGTGATCTCAGCTCACTGCAACCTCCGCCTCCCAGGTTTAAGTGATTCTCCTGCCTTAGCCTCCTAAATAGCTGGGATTACAGGCGTACACCACCCCACCTAGCTAATTTTTTGTATCTTTAGTGGAGATGGGGTTTCACCGTGTTGGCCAGGCTGGTATTGAACTCTTGACCTTGTGATCCACCTGCCTCAACCTCCCAAAGTGCTGGGATTATAGACATGAGCCACCGTGCCTGGCATATTTTCTTTTTTACTAACATCTCACTTTAATATTTCTGGTTCTCACTTAACTTTTTGGGATCTTGGTTTCTTCAGCTGTGAAAAGAGTAAGTTGGGCAATTTCACTGATTTCTAACTATTTTGAGTTATGGACATCTTTGAGAATTGGAACATCTTTCCCTATAAATACACATATATACATGGTTTTTCTTTTCTTTTAGTTGGGGTATCACAGCAATATGGTTTTTATTTTCATAGCAGTTACAGGTTCCCAGATTAAGAACTCTTGGGATAAACAATCTTTAAGGTCTCTTCTCTTCCAGCTTAAAATTTCATGACTCAGATCTAATTACTTAATAGTACCCATTTATGTATATTAATTATGAGATATTTTATATTCATAGATAATGTAGTATATTGAACATGCAGTTTAGATGTGGGTAATCAAAAATTACTTGAATTACTGATTTTTCAGTCCAGTTCTTATCACGATTTTCAGTGCTGTAGCTCAGCCCTTTTCCCTTTCTTTGTGTCTATGTGACATGGTTTCTCAACATCCAAGCTGTTGATATTTTCAACCAGATAATTCTTTGTTGTGGCAAGCTGTAAGTCTTAAACAAGTCCAGATTCTTGGTTGTAAATAGAGGAAGGAGGCTCTGCTTGTAAGCTAACACAATTGATAAGCTCTAAAAATAGGCAATAACTAGGGGAGGTTAAGGCAGCTAGTAGGATAGCCAAGTCACTCCACAGGATGAGTCCAGTTAGAATCCTGCAGGCAGCATGTTCTGTTGACACAAACTACCTTTACTGCCTCCAGAACAAATTCTGATCTGTTTCTGGCTTGTTTTTGTCATTCACTCTAGATTCACTGTCCTGGATTACTTAATTGGCTGAGCCTAAGTCTTTTTTTTTTTTTTTTTTTTTTTTTGAGACAGTTTTGCTCTTATTGCCCAGGCTGGAATGCAATGGCACGATCTTGGCTCACTGCAACCTCCACCTCCTGGGTTCAAGTGATTCTCCTGCCTCAGCCTCCTGAGTAGCTGGGATTACAGGTGTGTACTACCACGCCTGGCTAATTTTGTATTTTCATTAGAGACAGGGTTTCTCCATGTTGGTCAGGCTGATCTCGAACTCCTGACCTCAGGTGATCCACCTACCTTGCTCTCCCAAAGTGCTCTGATTACAGGTGTGAGCCACTGCACCCAGCTTCCCTGGCTGAGCTTAAGTCATATGTCCATGCTTTAGTTTCTGGGGAGCTGGGAAATTAACAATATTTTTCAGTAATTTGAACAGTTCCTCCAAAGTCCTTTTTTTAAACAGGAATGGCTTACTGATAGTAAATCATGTCATGTTGTATTTTTTTTTTTTTTAAGATCTTTCGCCAGTAATATTTTATTCTTTTTAAAATAAATTATAAATACTTTTTCCACATATCAAAGTTCATCAAAGAACTCCCAAAATTAATCTTCTTTATTCTTCAGCAATTATTTATTCACACACCAGACCACCGTTTCATATTTTAAATCCCAGGACTCTCATGCATTCCTTGTGGACCTCAGTTAGATGTCCACAGTGTTCTTCTCCTTTCTCAATGATACACGCATCGTGCACCTTCTTTGTCTCCGGGGAGGCGCAGCAGGGCTTCAGCGGCTTCTTCTCCTGAGACTCAGGCAGGGCAGCGTCTGAGTCGACCAGACCTGGCATCTTTTGCACCAAAAGCAGTTATGAGTGCAGATAGCCTCTGTTAACACCGATTCCTCATGTTGTATTTTTCAGTAGCTTTACTATTTTAGTAAATCCTTACTATTTTTAATGATTTTTTTTTCCATTTAGTATTTAGCATTTACATGTGGCCTAATCAGAGGTGGCTTATCAAACTTGGGAATAAAAAGTATTGTAACAGCCGAAGTGTCTTCAATGCCTGCTTGTAAGTTGAATTCACGTTTCTTAAAAATGTTTCAGTAATTTGTTTTCAGGTCTGTTTGATTTTTTTGTTTGTTTTTGTTTTAACTGAGAGGAAATTTAAAATACTGAAACTTTCATTTTAGTTTTATCAATGTAACATTTAGTATAGTAATATGTTGCATACTGTATTCATATTCAGTAATTTTTGAATTAATAATGGACTAAAATCCAAATTTATGAGACAATTTAAGGGATGATTTATAACTTTTTTAAAGTCAGATATTCTTTTTTTAAAGAAGATATTCTAAATATGTATACCTGTATAAATATGTTTATAACTTTTTAAAATTCGGGTATATATATTCAGAATAGTATCTTCTGAATATGTATACCTGTATAAATTTGGATTTATAAGACAATTTAAGGGATATAATATTTTAAAATAGCAAATTTCCCTAGAATGTTGAAAATGCCTCCTAAAGGCCGGACGTGGTGGCTCACGCCTATAATCCCAGCACTTTGGGAGGCCGAGGCGGGTGGATCACGAGGTCAAGAGATCAAGACCATCCTGGTCAATATGGTGAAACTCTACTAAAAATACAAAAAAAATTAGCTGGGCATGGTGGTGTGGGCCTGTAGTCCTAGCTACCTGGGAGGCTGAGTCAGGAGAATTGCTTGAACCCAGAAGGCAGAGGTTGCGGTGAGCTGAGATGGTGCCATTTGCACTCCAATCTGGGTAACAACAGTGAAACTCTCTCAAAAAAAAAAAAAAAAAAAAAAAGGAAAAGAAAATGCCTCCTAAATTCAAGCGATTCTCCTGCCTCAGCCTCCTGAGTATCTGGAATTACAGGCGCACACCATGATGCCTGGCTAATTTTTGCATTTTTATTGGAGATGGGGTTTCACCATATTGGTCAGGCTGGTGAAAATGCTATTTTTAAACAATTGTTTAGGATATATCTGTTACATGATGCTAAGTAAAACCAAATAGTCTTTTTTATTTTTATTTTTTTTTATTTATTTTTTTAAGAGATGGGATTTTGCCATATCGGCCAGGCTGGTCTTGAACTCCTGACCTCATGTGATCCACCTGCCTTGAATTACAGGTGTGAGCCACTGCGCCTGGCCCCAAATAGTCTTTTATCACTAAATGTCTCCCTAAAGATCTTTTCATCAGAGCTACCAACCAAGAAAAAAAAATGGACTTGAGCTTCATTGCATTTCCTTTCCATTTACAATGATCATTAGCAGTGAAATACAGTACCAAAATATAGGGATAATAAAGAGAAACAAAAGTGCCTACTCATAAACTAGATAATCGTCCCATTAAATAGGATGACTTTATTGAATATTATGAAGAATGTGAAAAGGTTGTTTGACATAGTAGGTTTCTTGATTGAAACTGTTTCCTATATGGAAAATAAAATTGATGTTTAGATTTGTTTTCTTTATATCTAAAATTAAAGAATTATTTTTTTTTTTTTAGGCAAATTTCAGGTGATGATACAAAAGCTGTAGAACATACTGAAATGCAAGGCTTCAACAGTGTAAAGAGATAAATTATTCATGTATAAAGTATTTAAAGTAGTGATGATTTAATTACATTGTTCGATGTTTGTACAGGAGTAAGCATGTATTTTTACCAGTTTACACAGATCAACTCAAAGGAGATAAAGGGACATTCTGTTATGACATACATTTAACTAAACCTATTCAAAATGAAAAACTGATTTCAGATAATGAGACACCAAGATGTAGGGCTCTTATTTTAAACCTTTTTATTTGGTTTGAGTGTTACGTATTTGGCCATAGACAGACAGGCAAAGTTCAGGGTTTGCTGAATTCGCTTGAGAGGAAAGTATGTACCAACAGAATAATTTGTGATAAAAATGAACAAATTTTGATAAAGTGTGAATGTTTTATTTTAAAAAGCAAACATACTAAATTCATTTTATTGCTTAAAATTTATTAAGAATTTTTACACCTGCATAAGGATTTTGTATATACATTGTATGTGTGTGTGTATATATATAAATACATATATGATTGCCTAAATTGTTTAGAAATTTAATTTTGTTTTAATAGGTTTCATTCCTTCAGAGCTCCATTAATGTAATCAAAATGAAACATAGATTAGTTTAAATGTGAATTCAGTGACTCTAGGGCCAAAGAATATTAGGTATGTTTGGAAGGAATTTTTGTATTTATTCCTGTTACAGTTTTGACTTTCAACTTCTCTCCTCATCCATGGACATCCTGGTAAAGGGTCTAATATCTTTATTCTCTTCTTTACTCTTTCACCTGAGCAGAGAGGTGGGTAATTGGATTAGTAATTCTTTTTCTTTTTCTTTTTGAGATGGAGTCTTGCTCTGTTGCCAGGCTGGAGTACAGTGGCTCAATCTTGGCTCACTGCAGCCTCTGCCTCCCAGGTTCAAGTGATTCTCCTGCCTCAGCCTCCCAAGTAGCTGGCATCACAGGTGCCTGCCACCACACCCAGCTAATTTTTGTATTTTTAGTAGAGACGGGGTTTCACTGTGTTGGTCAGGCTGGTCTTGAACTCCTGACCTTGTGATCCACCCGACTCGGTCTCCCAAAGTGCTGGAATTACAGGCGTGAGTCCCGCTCCCTGCCCTTGGATTAGTCATTCTGACATTCTTTGGACTACATCATCTTAGTGGTTTGGGGTTAGTGCTCATTGGATATATCTTTCTTACCACCTCTTCCACATACTTTCTCTTAAACTTAAATTATCTGGCATAAGCAGATATCCCCAGCTTTTGTTAGAACTTTGCATGTTGACTATAAAAACTATACTTTTTTTCCCATTTATTTATTACCCTTTTGAATGTGTTTGTGTGACAGGGAACTCTGCAGAAGGGGGTGACTGACACACCAAACAAGATGTTTTATTGGGTACGCTGCCATAGAAATGGCTGATTAAGAAGATCGACTAAATAAACCAAACATTATATTAAAAATATGAAATAAGAACTATAAAAATTTAGGACATTAAAGAAAACTCAGGTTAGAGGCATACCATTTTGCTTTCATGGAAGGATACAGTATTACAAAGATATTTAACTTGATTTATTAAATTCTAGTTATGTGCCCTATAATGATGTTTTCAGTCAATGACAGACTACATATATGGAGGTGGTCCCATAAGATTACAATACCACGTTTTTATTGTACCTTCTTTATGTGTATTTTACTTTATTTTATTTTATTTTTGAGACGGAGTCTCACTCTGTTGCCCAGGCTGGAGTGCAGTGACATGATCTAGGTTCACTGCAACCTCCACCTCCAAGGTTCAAGTGATCCTCCTACCTCAGCCCCTCTAGTAGCTGGGATTACAGGGATACACCACTATGCCTGACTATTTTTTGTATTTTTAGTGAAGATGGGGTTTTGCTATTTGGCCAGGCTGGTCTCGAATTCCTGACCTCAAGTGATCCCCCACCTCAGCCTCCCAAGGGTTGGTATTACAGGCGTGAGCCACCGTGCCTGGCCCTTCTTTATGTTTAGATATGCAAGTGCTTAGCATTGTGTTACAGTGTCCTACAGTATTCACTATAGTAATATGCTGTACAGCTTTATAGCCTAGGAGCAATAGGCCATAGCCTAGGTGTATAGTAGGCCATACCATCTAGGTTTGTGTAAGTATACTCTGTGATTGTATAATTTCAAAATCTCCTAATGACACATTTTTCAGAACATACCCCTTTGTTAAGCAATGCATGACTGCAATTTTAATTCTAGCCTGATTTGGGGGAAGAATTTTTAATTTTGAAAAAATAAATTTAGGAAAATTCCTATCAAATATACAAATATAAAGTTTATTAAGTTAAAAAAGTCATATGACCCAGGAATAGCTAATGACACAGAAGTGGATCAAAATGGAACACAGTAGAGAACATCAAATAAAACAGGTGTAGGAATTGTATGTGTGAAAAAGGTGGGTTCGAATAAGTGGGTTTGTTAGACACTCTCATATGCCTACCTGTCAGCCATTTCTTTCTTCCTTGCTTGCAGTCAAAGCCCCATTTCTTTCTTTTCTGTTTTTTTAAACTCTGTATGGCTGCCTTGTGCTGTAGAATAGGGTGCTTCCCTAGTCCGGAGATGGTGAGTGTTGATTAGATTCTATGTCAGTCATGGTAATTGGCTTACTTGATCATTTGATGGAATTTCAGCTAATGAGATAAAGGAAGTCTGAAAGGCTTTGAAGAAATTTTCTGTTGTTCTTAATTGATAGAAGATGGGGATTGGATTTGCCAGCATCCCTTTTCTGCTTCTCAGTGAAGATAGGTGATATGGATGTTTGAAGCTAATCTGCCGCAGCCTTCTGATGGCCATGAAAGGACAAGTATGGAGATGAAAGCCATCACACTGAGCATAGTGGGATGTAGATAGGAAGCACCTGAATTGTGCTTCTGAATTAACCAATCTGGTAACTGCTTTACCTTTGGACTTTTGGTTATGTGAGATATTCCTTATATTGTTACATTCATTTTGGGTATGTATATTGTTACTTGTAGCCAAAAAGAAACCTCTCTCTCAGTAGAAACAAAGGGAGAGTTAGGTTATTCAAAAATAGTATGGGACAATTGAATATCCCTTTTTCTGTGGGAGTGGGTGGGGAGAAACTTAAAGGTTCATGTGTAAAACAATAAAACCATAAAATACTAAAGAAAATATGAGAATACTTGTGATTTTGTGCTAGAGAAGGCCTTTCCTACACACAAATGTAGGAAATCATAAAGGAAAATTGTAAAATAAAACAAAAAAACGTAGTAACATCTCTTCAACAAACAGTGTTGGGAAAACTGGAAATCCATATACAAAGGAATGAAATTGGATTGTTGTCTTAAAGCTGTACATAGAAATCAACTTAAATTGGATTGAAGATTTAAAAGTAAAATCTGAAACTATATAATCCTAGCAGAAAACATCAGGGGAAAGCTTCATAACATTGGTCTTGGCAATGATCTCTTGGATAAGACACCAAAAGCGTAACCAACAAAAGCAGAAGTAGAAAACAGGGACTACATCAAACTAAAAAGATGCACAGCAAAGGACAGTGAAAAGGCAACTTAGGAATGGAAGAAAGTATTTGGAAACCATATACACTTGGCCCTTTCTGTCTTGACAGTTCAACCAAGAATTCAACCATCCTTGGTTTGAAATATTTGGGGGGGAAAAAAAAAACAAAACGTCGTGCTCAAGCCTATAATCTCAGCACTTTGGGAGGCTGAAGGGGGTGGATCACCTGAGGTCAGGAGTTCAAGACAAGCCTGGCCAACATGGCGAAACCCTGTCTCTACTAAACATACAAAAATTAGTTGGGTGTGTGGTGGCACATGCCTGTAGACCCAGGTGGCTGAGGCAAGAGAATTGCTTGAACCCCAGAGGTGGAGGTTGCAGTGAGCCTCGATCGTGCCACTGCACTCCAGCCTGGGTGACAGAGTGAGACTCTTGTCTCAAAAAAAAAAACAAAAAAATCCAAAGACTATAAAAATAAAAATACACATTTAAAAAATATAGCATAACAATGATTTATATAGCATTTACAGTGTGCTAGGTATAAGTAATTTTTTTTTTCTTTGTATGGATCATGTTATAGGTATCAGTAATCTAGAGATGATTTTTTTTTTTTTTTTTTGAGATGCAGTTTTGCTCTTCTCCTGCCTCAGCCTCCTGACTAGCTGGGATTACAGGCATGTGCCACATGCCCAGCTAATTTTTTGTATTTTTAGTAGAGAAGGGGTTTTTCCATGTTGGTCAGGCTGGTCTCGAACTCTGAAACTCAGGTGATTGGCCAGCCTCGGCATCCCAAAGTGTTAGGATTACAGGTGAGAGTCACTGTGCCTGGCCTAGAGATGATTTAAAGTATATGGTGGTGTGAAGGCTCATGCCTGTATTCCAGCACTTTGGGAGGCCAAGGTGGGCAGATCACCTGAGGTCAGGAGTTCAAGACCAGCCTGGCCAACATGGTTAAACCCTGTCTCTACTGAAAATACAAAAATTAGGCAGCCATGGTGGCGAGCGCCTGTAACCCCAGCTACTTGGGAGGCTGAGGCAGGAGAATTGCTTGGACCCAGGAGGCAGAGGTTGTGGTGAGCAGAGATCACACCACTGCACTCCAGCCTGGGTGACGAGAGCGAGACTCTGTCTCAATAAATAAATAAATAAATAAAGTATACAGGAGGGCAGAGCAGGCCAAGCAAGCTGGGTGCAGTGACTCACACTTGTTATCTGAGCACTTTGGGAGGCCAAGACAGGAAGATTGCTTGAGCTCAGGAGTTCAAGACCAGCCTGGGAAATGTGGCGAGACTTCATCTCTACTAAAAATGAAAAAAGCCAAGCATGTACTCACACCTTCTTCAAAGGCTGAGATGAAGATTTTTAAGTCTGAAGGATATAATGAGCATGGGAGGTTGAAGCTGGAGTGGACCATGATAATGCCACTGCACTCCAGCCTGGGTGGCAGAGAGACGAAGACTCCAAAAAAAAATGTTGGTGAGCATGTGGAGAAATATGAATCCTTTTGCACTGTTAGTGGGAATGTAAAATGATATGGCTGCTCTAGAATACAGTATGGAGGTTCCTTAAAAAATTAGCAATAGAACTGTAAGATCCAGCTGTCTGACTTTGGGGTATGTTGGGTCTCTCAGTTTCCTTTTTCTGTCCTCACTGAGAAACAAAGGCTTCTTCACAGTTGTGTGTCCTGGGCAGCTGCATGTTTTGCCCTGCAGGCTTGAACCCAAGCCAGGATTTTGGACAGTTTCAGGCACTGATGAAGGTTTTTCAGGTTGTTGTCCGAAACCCTGAAAGGAACTAGCTCTAGCCCTGAGCCAAATTTCTTTTTTAAATATATATTTTATTGCACTTTAGGTTGTGGTATGCGTGTGCAGAACGTGCAGGATTGTTGCATAGGTACATACATGGCAATATGGTTTGCTGCCTCCATCCCCCCATCACCAGATTTCTCCCTATGTTATCCCTCCCCAATTCCCTATCCCCACTGTCCCTCCCCTGTTCCCCCACAACAGACCCCAGTATGTGATGTTCCCCTCCCTGTGTCCATGTGTTCTCATTATTCAACACCAGCCTATGAGTGAGAACATATAATGTTTGATTTCCTGTTCGTGTGTCAGTTTGCTGAGAATGATGGTTTCCACATTCATCCATGTCTTTACAAAGGACACGAACTCATCGTTTTTTATGATTGCATAGTGTTCCATGGTTTATATGTGCCACATTTTCCTTGTCCAGTCTATCATCAGTGGACATTTGGATTTGTTCCAGGTCTTTGCTATTGTAAACAGTGCTGCAGTGAACATATGTGTGCATGTGTCCTTATAATAAAACGATTTATAATCCTTTGGCTATATACCCAGTAATGGAATTGCGGGGTCAAATGGGATTTCTATTTCTAGGTCCTTGAGGAATCACCACACTGTCTTCCACAATGGTTGAACTAATTTACACTCCCACCAACAGTGTAAAAGTGTTCCTGGCTGGGCATGGTGGCTCACGCCTATAATCCCAGCACTTTGGGAGGCTGAGGTGAGTGGATCACAAGGTCAAGAGATCGAGACCATCCTGGTCAACAAGATGAAAGCCCGTCTCTACTAAAAATACAAAAATTAGCTGGGCATGGTGGTGTGTGCCTGTAATCCCAGCTACTTGGGAAGCTGAGGCAGGAGAATTGCTTGAACCCAGGAGGTGGAGGTTGCAGTGAGCTGAGATTGCGCCATTGCACTCCAGCCTGGGTAACAAGAGTGAAACTCCGTCTAAAAAAAAAAGTGTTCCTATTTCTCCACATCCTCTCCAGCATCTGTTGTCTCCAGATTTTTTAATGATTGCCATTCTAATTGGCGTGAGATGGTATCTCAATGTGGTTTTGATTTGCATTTCTCTAATGACCAGTGAGGATGAGCATTTTTTTCATATATTTCTTGGCCTCATATATGTCTTCTTTTGAAAAGTGTTCATATCCTTAACCCACTTTTGAATGGGTTTGTTTTTTTTCCTTGTAAATCTGTTTTAGTTCTTTGTAGATTCTAGGTATTAGCCCTTTGTCAGATGGGTAGATTGCAAAAATTTTTTCTTATTCTGTTAGTTGCCAGTTCACTCTAATGATTTTTTCTTTTGCTGTATAGAAGCTCTGGAGTTTAATTAGATCCCATTTGTCTATTTTGGCTTTTGTTGCCAATGCTTTTGGTGTTTTAGTCATGAAGTCCTTGCCTATGCCTATGTCCTGAATGGTTTTGCCAAGGTTTTCTTCTAGGGATTTTATGGTGTTAGGTTTTTTTGTTTAAGTCTTTAATCCATCTGGAGTTAATTTTAGTGTAAGGTTTCAGGAAGGGGTGCAGTTTCTGCTTTCTGCACATGGCTAGCCAGTTTTCCCAACACCGTTTACTAAACAGGAAATCCTTTCCCTGTTGCTTGTTTTTGTCAGGTTTGTCAAAGATCAGATGGTTATAGATGTGTGGCATTGCCTCTGAGGCCTCTGTTCTGTTGCATTGGTCTATATCCCTGTTTTGGTACCAGTACCATGCTGTATTGATTACTGTAGCATCTGTTGTAATATAGTTTGAAGTCAGGTAGCATGATGCCTACAACTTTGTTCTTTTTGCTTAGAATTAACTTGGCTATGTGGGCTCTCTTTTGATTCCATATGAAGTTTAAGGTGGTTTTTTCCAGTTCTGTGAAGAGGGTCATAGGTAGCTTGGTGGGGATAGCATTGAATTTATAAATTACTTTGGGTAGTATGGCCATTTTCACAATATTGATCTTCCTAACCATGGCCAGGGAATGTTTTTCCATCTGTGTGTTCTCTTATTTCCTTGAGCAGTGGTTTGTAGTTCTCCTTGAAGAGGTACTTTACATCCTTTGTTAGTTTTATTCCTCTTTGTAGCAATTGTGAATGGCAGTTCCTTCTTGATTTGGTTCTAAGTCTGTTATTGATGTATTGGAATGCTTGTGATTTCTACACATTAATTTTGTATCCTGAGACGGCTGAAGTTGGTTATCAGTTTCAGGAGATTTTGCGCTGAGACGATGGGGTCTTCTATTTTTTTTTTTCACGTTTAACAAGATTCGTCCACTTTAATGCATAAAACCCTTTTAAATAGAGCTAATATTCTATATTCAGAACATCTGAGAAAACATTTTTGAGTATTACAAAAGTTTAACAAAAAGTCTAATATGAAAATGTACATGACCTAATTTTTACATCATAGTAAAACAGGCCGTATGGAGAGAGGACATGGGTTTCTCTGCTGAACAGCCATTATTTATACTCATTCCAAGATTTCTAACATGATGATACTATTTATTCATATTACCACCATTCCAATATTGTTCTATTGTCCGCTAGTCGCCATCTCCACACATTCATCTATCACAAGATTCATAAAGGGATCAAATCCCCGCAATATTCTTTGGACATGTTTGCCACCATTTAATTTCAATGATAGCTTCTTGTCCATCAATTTTTTCAACTCGGGAGGGTGAGCTTTGTTCATGATGGCTACTCTGCGGGCACACCAAAGAGGTCTTCTAAATATACAATCATATTGTCTGCAAATAGAGACAATTTGACTTCCTCCTTTCCTAATTGAATACCCTTTATTTCTTTTTCTTGCCTGATTGCTCTGGCTAGAACTTCCAATACCGTATTGAATAGGAGTGG